TCAAGATTGGAAAAAGAATTAAAATTTTTTAAAGATAAAGAAATGAGAGTATTTGAAAAATACAGTAAAGTAAGTACCTTAGGTATATGATAATTACATACCTATATATATATATATATATATATATATATATATATATATATATATATATACATATATTTTATAACTGAAAAAGGCAATCAAATCTATGAAGGATTCGCTGTTTGTGTTTATTGATTAGTATAAAATAATAAAGATCAAAACGCAAATCGACTCATGAATAATACTTTAATACTAGTAAAGCTAACACAATGCTTGATTTTATATTATCTATTACAGATTCGAAGATGATTTTTGAGTCCTATTGTCCAATTGTTCATAATTTTAATGGTTGTAAGGTTAATAATTTAATAGAATTTATGTCTAGTATTAATTTAAATTAATATTAATTAAACCTTGATTCAGATGATTTTATTTCGAAATTCTATGAAATTATAAATCATTCGATTGATATTTTTGTTCCTAAAGTAAAATTAAATCTTGAATTTTATAACTTCATAAGTTGGTCAAACCCATCTCTTAGAAAATTAATTAATTTAAAAAAACAAACGCATAAAAAATATAGAACTTAAAATTCTCAGTTAGATTATAAGACTTTTTCAGTGCTACGGGAAAATGCAAAAATTGTAGGCTATAATGAAAGAACATAACCCTTCTGCTACTTATGACTGGTGTTGGGCACACAAATTTAGTTTATTTATAGTAGATGCAGCAAGTAATTGCCCCCAGGCTAAATATTTATTCGGTAATTTAGAAACACTATATGATTTCATAGGCAGCAGTAAAAAACGAGTAGGGTTATTTTCACAATATCAAAAAGAAAGATATCCTGGTAAGCCAATATGTAGGTTAAAAAGAGTTGAAACCAACTAAGTAGTCATCTCATGCTGCTGCTCTTCATATAGTTTTTGAGATATACGATTCATTAATTGACACATTGGTCGAATTACAAAATGTTGTTGATCGTATTTCAAGTATTAATGCTGGAAGTTTAATGAGTTATTTATTATACGAATCATTTATATTAACTGGTTTTATATTTAAACAGATATTTGAGCTAATTAATCCTTTAAGTATATTTTTACAAGGCGTACAAATTGATTTTTTGGCCGCTACTGAATATATACAATGTGTATTTGAAAATATTCAAGTTTTCAGAGATGACAATCAGTTTAAAAAATTAATCGAAGATAAAAATCAGTTTGTATTATCTAGAAGTGACGAATTATCTTTCACGCCATTAGTAGAAAATAGAAGAACAAAATCCTGGTGAAATTATGTCTGATTATCAGCTGTCCACTTACAAATTTTAAAATTAGCACATACTTCACAATCATTGACTTTGTGTGTACTAAAATGAGAGGAAGATTTAATGACCAGTCAATACCACTATATAAAGATTTATCACTTTTTCAAGTAAAGCGAATAATAGAAGTTAAAGAAAAATCAAATTTACCAACCGATGCATTTGATGGTTATGAAAAAATGTATGGACAATTTGTAAAGGCTGAGGATTTGAGACGTGAATACAGTTTGTAAATTCATATTTAATGTTTGCAAAATTAATAAAATAACCAGTAAAGTTACATAAGCCAATACCATGTGATGATGGTACCAATGATGACATCGAAGAAGAGAACTCAGAAAATCATATTGTCAGCAACTTTTGGAACAATAAATATAGTATACATCAGGGATGGCGAACCTTTTTATTCCGGCGTGTCAAATAAAAATGTTGGTTGGATTTTGTTTTCCCTGCGTGTCAACTAGTTTGATAATTCTTTTTCATGCTTAAAAATTCCTACATTCATGGTTTGAATGATAAAAAAACAAGTCTAACCATTATCAAATAATTTAAATATAATAGATACTAAAAGTATAAGTATTTAAAAAAATTTAATCTATAAAAAATATTGAAATGTTAAAATATAAAATGGTTAAACATGCATTTTCAATGATCAAATTAATGCTGCATTTTATTAGCTTCTTTTTCTTCTTCTTCTGGCCTTCATAACTTTCCAAGAGTTTTTGCCGCCATCACTAAATCATCCCACTTATCTCGATCTTGTACTAACTCCCTCCAATTCTGTGCTCCAAGGTCTTCCAAATCTTTTTCCATGACATCCATCCATCTTTTCCGAGGACGACCCCCTGGCCTTCTTCCTTCCGGCTTCCAATTTAATGCTACCTTGGTTAATGCATCTGTGTTACGCAGCATAACATGTCCTAGCCATTTTATCCTTTGACTCTTTAAGAATCCATTAACTGTAACTATATTTAATTCTTCCTTTAATTCTTGGTTGAACTTCCTGCGCCATTGATCGGTCCTCGGATCCCTGATTGGGCCACATATTCTTCTCCATATCTTATTTTCAAAAATCCTCAGTCTTCGTTGTGTTACACTTGTAGTGATCCATACTTCACACCCATATATTAGTATCGGCCTTATTATTGATGTATAAATTCTTGTCTTTGTTCGTTTGGTGAATAGTTTAGATTTAAAGAACTTTAGCAAGGTAAAAAACGCTCTCTTTGCTTTTGTTATTCTTGACCCTATTTCACTAATTTTTTTAGCTAATAAATCAATTTTTGGACTGTAATTGGTTGATTTTAATTAAATACATGCTTCGCTTAAATCTGTTCCAAAACGATTCCTTACAGTTGACTTAATAAAATTCATAGAAGAAAAAAGCTGCTCACACGCATAAGTAGATCCAAACATTGTGAATAAAGAAAGAGCTAGTTTTTTCATAGATGCAAATGAATTTGGAAGACTTCTACTCATTAAGAATCAAATTTTCCGATTTAACATTCTTACCAATTTCATGATGATTATTTTCCAGTAATTATTCAAATTAATAAATTAATTTCTCCAAATATTACTTCCCTGAAATTCTATTAACTCCATTTCTAAATATTCAATACTTAACTTCTCAACAAAACTAAGTTCAAGTTCGTCAAATGTAATATTATGTGGATTTATTAAAAATTCTAAAGTTGAATCTAGATGACGAAATTGGAAAAATCTGCTTGAAAATAATTCGTATGCATGTTTTGTTATTATTAATTGCTTTTTTAAGTAAGGAAAATATTTCCAGTTTTCATTTTGTAGATTTTTACAATAAACTTCAATTTTTTTTCAAAAATGTTATTATTGTCAAACATAGTTAAAACTGTTTGACCTCGGTCTTGAAGTTTTTTATTTAAATCATAATAAATTGCAGCAAAATCTATGAAAAACATGAAATCATTTAACTAATTTAAATCAGTAATCTCTGGATAATTTTTAGATTTATTCAACCAAAATAAACGTACTTCTTTCAGTTATTCAACAAATTGATGAAGAATCGTGACTCAACCATTGAACACTGTTATACATAAGAAGACCAGAGTATTGCAACTTGACCTCTTCTAATAATTTGGCAAACTGTCGGTTGTTTAGAACTCGAGGTGTTATGAAATTGACAACTTTTGTAACAGTTTCCATTACTTTTTGAAGCGATTTCATACTATTTTTTGCACACAACGCTTCTTCGTATATAATTCGTTGAAAGTTGATGATAGGATGCGAAATTTTATTGGAAAAAAGTTTAATAAATCCATTGTGTTTATCAACCATATTTGAAGCGTCGTCAGTAGTTATTGAAATAATATTTTGAATATTGATTTTTAAACTTATAAACTCTTTATGTATTTCATCCATAATATCACGACCAGTTATTTTAGTAGAAATTGTTATTCATTTTATTAATTCTTCTTTCATAATATTAACTCTAATAAATTGAACAAAAACTGCTAAACGAGCCTAAGAAGTTACATCTGTACTTTCATCAAGACAAATCGAAAAATGTCTGCTGAAGCTAAATCAGTTTGATCTAAAAGTTAGATAAACTGATTTGATATATCGCCACCCATACATAAAATTCGTTCTTTAACAGTATTTTTACTAATAGGTATATCTTGAATACGTTTTATTATTTCATTTTTATTCGTAAAATCATGAAATAAAATATTTGATGTTATTAAAAAAACTTATTTTATGTATTCTCCATCGGAAACTGGTTTACCATGCTGTGCAATTCAGTAGGAAACAGAAAAACTAGCAGCTATTAAATTATTATTTGATTTAAACGCAGCTTTGAAATTATTTGATTGATTTTTAAAACGTTTCAATTTTTGCGAAATTAATTCCAACTTTTCTTCAGTTGATAAAGAAATTTCATTTTTGTAATTTCAATTTAATTTTAATTTACATCCCGTGGTTTTTAATGACAAACTTTTACACAATTGCGTGCGTCACTATAATAGTGTGCACGTGTCACTCTGTGACACGCGTTTTATAGGTTCGTCATCTCTGGTATATATGGTATGTCAACAAAATGGGCTAAAAGAAGTGTTTGCAGCTATTTATACAGCGTTAAGCATTGGACTAACTTTACCAGTATCAAGACTCTGAATTATTTATTAATATTTTTGCATCATACAGTACAGTACTAAAAAAATATTATGATAATTAAATAAATAGGTAACAGGATGCAGTAAGCAATGAACATATTATAAGAGTATTTATTAATTAATTATGATATTATTTTTTTTTTTTTTTTTTTTATTAAAAGAACAAAAAGACCGCGACAGCTATGGCCATTGGTCAGACAGTGACTTAAATAAATTACATAGTTACATATTTACATGATTTTATACAATATAAAGTTATATTTCTTTGAATAAGGTAGATTTTTTTAGGAAAATAAATAGTTTTTGAGTTGCGGTTGGTTCCGGGCTGAAGATTTCATATAAGTGGGTGGCTCCAAGCGTTATCATACGTTCTTGCTGGTTATTTCTGCATTCTGTGAAGATGTGCTTGATGGTGAGTTGGACACCGCAGGTAGTACAGTTGGGGGGATCCTCTCTTGTCATAAGGTGGCGGTAGGTTAGTAATGTATGGCCTATTCTTAGGCGGTTTAAAATTGTTTCTTGTCGTCTGGAACAACCGGGAGGAGGAGGCCATGGGAGTATTGATTTTTTTTAATTTCATTGAGTTTGGTTGATTGATTTGACCAATATCGTTGCCACTTTATGGCATTAAGATTTTTTATATATTTTTTTGCGTCGCTGTAGGTGAATCCTGGTACATTGATAGCTTTGGGTGATATGTGTGAAAGTTTTGCGACCTCGTCGGCTTTTTCATTTCCTGTTATATTGCAATGTCCTGGAATCCACATGAAGGATATGTGTTTCCCGGCAGAACATGCAATGTGACAAAAGTTGTGAATATTTCTAGCTATATCGGTAGGGTTATTTATATTTTTGAGGCTTGTTATTGCACTGAGTGAATCGCTTAGTATGATACAGCGTTTATCGTCGACGGATTGTATGAAATATTTGATTGTTTCTAGTATAGCCATGGCTTCAGCGGTATATATTGAACATTTGTCAGATAGTTTAAGTTGGATTTCAGTGTCACCACATATGATTGCAACCCCAACTCTTTGGTCTGTTATGGATGCATCTGTGTATATCTGTATATGAGGTTCGGCATTGGCTATGATTTCATTAAAGTGGTATTTATATATTTTAGGATTAGTGTCCTTTTTGGGGAACTGATGTAGTTCGAGATTGATATCTAGGGAGATTGTCCAAGGTGGCTGAAGGCTGATAGTTGATGGTATGATCTGATCTAGGTTCAATTTGTCTTGTAAATTTGTGAATAGATTATTGGGAGATGTGAAGATTCCTTGTGGGGATCTATGGAATCTGGCTGCCAGTAGTGATTTTTGCTCAGCCCATCTTAGTGATAGGGAGGGTATTCCTGCTATATTGGATATGCTGTCTATAGGGCTGGATCGGAAAGCTCCTATTGCCAGGCGCATTCCTGAATTGTGAAGATTTTCGAGCTTTTTAAGGTGGCATTGGATTGCTGACGAGAATAGAGGAGATCCATAATCTATTTTGGACAAAATTAGTGATTTGTGGATCTTGAGAAGTACAGAGGAATGGGCTCCCCATGAGGTATGAGATAGCATTTTGATTATATTGAGACGATTGGTGCAATCTTGTTTTAGATGTCGGATGTGAGGTGCCCATGAACATTTTGAATCAAAAATTATACCGAGGATCTTAATATATTTGTCATTTTTAATTATATGGTTGCCCAAACTAATTGACATTTTATTTTTGTTTTTGTTGTTGAATATAATGAGTTTAGTTTTTTCAGCTGAAAATCTAAACCCAGATGAATTTGACCAATTTCTTAGTGAGTTTGTGGCATCTTGTAGGATTTGTTTTATTGTTATTAGACTGCTGCTACGACATAAAATGGAGAAATCATCAGCGTACAGTATGGGAATGATTGGTTTTGATGTTTGCTTGTAAATGTCATTAATGGCTAGCAAAAAAATGGTTACGGAAATTGAAGAACCCTGAGGAACTCCATTTTCTTGTGTGTATGTATCAGATAAGCAGTTTGATGATTTAACTTGGAATGAACGTTCAAGTAATAGGTTTTGGATGAAGTTAAGTAGGTTCCCTTTACTTACTATTTCGTTAAGTATGTACAATATTCTCGGTCTCCAAATGGTGTCGTAGGCCTTGGCAATATCGAAGCTGATCATGCCTAAACTTTATTTGTTGCTATTAGCTATTTCGATTTCTCTTTTGATACTTAGGAGATTGTTTTGAGTGCTTCTATTTTATCTGAAGCCATTTTGTTCGGGAGATATGTATTTAATTTTTTCAAGGAACCAGATGAGTCGACGATTAATGATTTTTCAAGTAGCTTACATAATGTGCTAAGTAAAGTGATGGGGCGATAGCTTTCGGTGAGATATTTGTTCTTATTGGGCTTGAGGATTGGGATCACAAAACCGTGTCTCCAGTGTTTTGGGAATACGTTATTAACCCATATAGTGTTAAAGATGTCAAGTAGGTGTTTGATACCATTGAAGGGTAGATTTTGGATAAAATTATAAGGGATGCCATCTGGTCCAGGGCTTTTACTTTTGTTGGTTCTCAATACCATTTCCAATTCATCCATGGTTATTTGGGAGTTGATTAGGATTTGTGTGGTATCATTAGGGTCGATTGTGTTTGGTGGAGAGTAGTATCGATGGTGATTTATTAGGAATTCGTCATCGTAGTTGGAATTGCTTGAATTTTTTTGAAAATATTCTCCAATAGAATTTACCACTTCCTTTGGTGTCGATATGAGTTTAGAGTTGTATATAAGTTGAATATTGCTATGTCGGTTGGTTCCTTTGAGGGATTTTATTTTACTCCACACTACTGAGGGATCAGTCTAGTTATCTAAGCTAGATGTGAAGGTTTTCCAGGATGTGACTTTACTGAGTTTAACTAAAAATCTAGTGCGCGCTCTATTTCGTTTTAATTCTACGAAGTCATTTGAGTTGTGTGTGTTTTGGTATTTTTTAAGGGATTTGTTTTTATTTATAATAGATGTTTTTATTTCGTTGTTCCACCATGGAACCCGAGGTCGTTTTGGTTTGTTGTTGGCTAGTCCTATGGACATTTTTGCAGTGTCAGTGATGAGTTTTGAGAATTGGTTTACATCATCATCGATATTTTCTTTAGTAGGGGGATGATATTATTTATGTGCATCTCTAACTGCATGTCTACATAATATGATCTTAATAAAAATATAAAATATAAATCAATTTTATTGTCAATATCCTTTTCTGACGATCGTTTATCATATAATTAATTTCTATGCTAATTAAAAATTAAATTAGGTACTATATATACATTAAAATATTAAATAATGCGAAAATTCAATAAATAATACAATTTATTTGTGAAAATAATATTTTGTGTTTAAAAAATCGGTATTGACCAGGGGGTGTGAGAAGCTCTGCCCCCCACAGCTTAGGTTTCATACATGACACCTAAAAAAAATTAGTTCGACGCCACTGAACAGAAATACATTAGACTTTAGAAATCCTTTGTGTTTAAAGCTTTTGTATAATTTCTTTGTTAGGTCTAATTTAGAATTTGGCTTACTAATTTGGTCTAATGATTATTTTACTTATCTGAATGATCTTAATAATATTCAATATACATTTTTGAAAAGAATTGCTTATGTTACCCATTGCACTATTTCCAAAGACACTCTTCATTTGGTTCAAGATTCCATAGGTCTTGATTTTCTTTCCATCAGGCGTGATTTAAAAGATGTTATGTTTGTTTATGATATTTTTAATAAAATAATCGACTACCTAGAAATGTTAAGTTTAATCGGATTTAGACTCTTTATTAAGAAAACTCGTAATTCTGATTTGTTCTATATACCTAAATTTAAAACAAACTATGGAAAAAATTCATTTTTTACAAGAGCTCTATTGAATGCCAATAAAATCTCCACTGTCTTAGATTTTTTTAATATATTTCGTCATATTTTTTAAATGAAATCTTTATTATTTTTAAAACATAATGATTAAATTTTAATCTTCATATAAACATATTATTTTTTTATTTACTAGTTTTTCTGTACTTTTTATATTTTATATCACTTTATTTTTTTATATTATCGCTTGTCTAATAGTTTTCATGTGCCAACAGTTATTATATATTATACTGTAATATTTTGTTAAAGAGCTTATGTCCGTTGATTATAATAATAAATATATTAACATGAGTTTAATTCTATAGGTACGTCCCGAAGCCGTTAACAGTTTTAAGTTGGGTAAATATCAAATAAAACATGAAATATATAATAAAATAATATTATTAACTTCAATATATGCTTAAAAAATTGAATTAACAAAATATTCATTGTAATACTAATTAATAAGTAAACTACCTGTCGAATCGTTTAACGGTTCGGTTTTGATGAACAATCGAACTAATAACAATTGTATTCTACAGATTCAGATCAAATGGACACACCTATAAATACGATAATTTATTTGTTTAAAGAAATTGAAGCGTATGCTATAGAGTTATTTATAGCCATAATTATTTAAACATAAACTACAATGATTTACATTATTTATTGTCTCGTATTATAGACAAGAAAACTTACAATATAAACTGAAAATCGAGAATAATAATTTAAAACAATTATGGGATATGAATAAAAAACAATTCGATATGTGTCAGGAAGAATTAATACTAACACGTAAAAAATTAGAATGCCAAAAATACCAATTGCTCACAATGAGAGAAGTAAAAAATACATTGCCGGCAAATAATCAGCTAGACACACTGCGGGTAAGAACACAAAATATATTATAAAAACATTGTATACGTCTTAATAAAAATAATATTTCCTATGAGCAGTAATCTATTATATGATATTTTTTTATTGAAATAGTTAAAGTATCAAAATTCAATCGAAGAAAATAAATTACTCAAATTACGAAACAAAGAATTAAGTGAACAGGATAAAAAGTTGGCCCAAGAAAATCTCAACCTGAAAAAAAGCAATTACTCTCCAATTATTAAATATTTTATAATAAAAAAAAAAATTAATATTAATATTTTTTCTTATCCAGTAATTGAAAAAACCAAAAACCTGACTACTGATTATGAAACACTAAAAAATGAATTGAAAATCAAAGAGGGAGAATTACAATCCAGTATAAATAATTACAAAGAGCTTTCCCGTCTAAAATTACAAGAAGAAAATATTCAACAGTCCTCAATGGACAAAATTATTGCTACAGATAAAAAAGTAAAATCATTATAATTGAATTATTAATGATATTAAACTTATTATTGATTTTGAAATTTCAAGAAAGCTAATAAAATTTTTGAACTCGAAAAAATGTTAAATGACTATAAACTACAAATCGACTGTCTAACGAAAAAAATTAATCAGATTCAGTATGAACATGAAATACATAACCGTGATAATGCCAAAGAACTTAAAGATGCACAAATACATATTAAAAAACTACTAACTGAAAAACTGAAGTATTTTATTTATTTTGATATGTTTCAAATGATAATTATTTGAAAATATTTTTAAGAGCTCCAAAAAATGATAACAAAGTGCTTAAAAAAGAATGTAAATTGATAAAAAAGCAACTGAGCAATAAACAAACAGAAGTGCTGGTTTTACGATCGCAAATTGAACAGTTGATGTTGGACAAGAGATCATTACAACATGACGTATGTCATCTCCATTCGGTAATAACTAGTAATTACAGCGGTCAAAAGCTATTATAAGAACGGATAACTCAAAACAAACATTTTAGGGGAAAATCATGAAACCCAACACAGAAGGAAAACAGAATAAAACACTTTTAGAACAGAATATGATATATCGACACGATGTACAAAAGTTGATGAAGATTAACAATGCGTTAACTAGGGCAAACAAAGAATTAGCTTTACAATTTAAAAATAGGCAAAAAAGTAAAAAATCTACCGAATCATTATCAGTTGATTCATACTCGAATGTAAAAGTCCCAATCTATATTTGGTGTGAAAGGTTTTTGAATGATTTTAAAAAATAATAATTATTATTACAATATACTTAATTATATTTAAAAATTTTTTTACATAAACGTTTTTTTTTTTTTTTAATTTATTGTGAAATTTATTTCGAATCCTTAGAGCTAGAATTGAACACAATTTTTAAAAAAAAATCATTTTTTTCTACATTTCAAGTGAGATGTATTCTTTTGAAAAATAATAAATTAAAAATGTAGCTCAAAGGATTTAAAGTTGATTTAATAATAAAGTCTGTTTACCGAATTAGTAAATGTGTAGAATTCAAGTTAACTCAGAAATAGAACCTGTATAGATTAAGTTACAATATGTGACTGGTATATACTAAGTCCAGAATTATACATTTCACAATGTGTACTGGTATTTTTTTACACATTGCGAATTGTACAATGTTACTGTAAAAAGTAGATAGTTTGTACAAAATACAATTATACAATTTGTGATGTATACAACGTTCGATGTGCAAATCACAATTTATAAATAATAATATCTAAAAATATTTTATTATTATTATAAAACTATATAATATATACTATGTTATTAAAATAAAATAATATAAATTCTATTAATATAGGTACATATAGGTACCGACAGGGCTGGCTTTAGCTCTTTCAACGCTCAGAATCAGTAATTATTTTGGCAATCATCCATCTAAAACGACTAAAACATACAACTTAAATAGGCAGAATTTCGAGAGCTGGAGGGGCCCATTATACATATTATAAGTCTCATTTATAATCAAAAATGCTCAAAATAATTTTTCAATCATGCACATTTACCACATATTTGTAAATACTATACTAAAATTGTACCTTCAGTCTGAATTCTGTATAAAAAAAAACAACAAATAATCATAGTAGTAATAGTATCTATTAATTATTTTTTAAAAACATTAAAAAACAATTAATATAGGTATCTTAATTTAACAAATATCTAAATAGAAAACATACGGTTGGTAAGTAGTCAAATAACAAATTCCAAATTTATTTGTTTCATTTTGGCAAATTTGTTGATTATTTCATTAATGGATACAATAATATCTTTATGCACATGCAGCAAAGCCAAACCTGTTAGTCTATGCTGGCCTATTCTTGATCTTAACCATGTTTTCAATCTGAAAGAATATATTTTTGGCCAATATTTGCAAGTTAAAGAATATGGAAATAAATATTGTCAGTTATTATGATTATTATTTGGCTTAGGGACTTCTAGCTCTATAAAATACACAAATATGCATGCATTTGTGCATAAAAAAAATGACTAAATACCTATACACAACAAAAGTACCGGATATTATGTTGTGAAAAAAAAAATAGGCGAATAAAATTATTAAGGACTTATTTAGCTCAAATAAGTACAAAAATATATAATATGCATAAATGCAACGAAAAATAATTAACTAGTAAATATGTGGTAAAAAAAAGTATTACTTTAAATTACTTTATATTATCTGATAAATACCTTGGTCATGGTTGTAAATGTCTATAACCGTTACAATTACAACCGTATTATCCGTGAAAGATAATACCACTATTCGTTTCACAACCAAAAATGTTATGATATAAGATTAACAAAAATTGATATCTGACTATTTTTTTAAATAAAATTTAACATTTTCCAACCTATGTTATATGTATTATATAATAATACCTTTACATTTATTGAACTAGAAGTATATGTTTAGTAAAATTATGACTGTGCTATAGCTTTGAATTTAAACGTAGTATACAATTGTTTTGGTAAAAACGTGCTCAATATCTCATTTGGTGGAAACGGATATTGGTGGAAAAGGGAAAGACACACTATTGGTGGAAACGGGCATCGCCCTGGAGTATGCACACCCCAGTTTAGGGAATGGAACCAAACCGAAAAAATACAGGATTTGGAACCGGAATCTTGGCCTAATCATAGAATTTAAATTAATAAATGCGATTAGAAAAAAAATCATCGGAACGTTTAGACAAATGTTTTTATAGCTATCCGTCATTATCCGTCTATATTCGGAGCACAATATGTTCGAGTTATCTATAGTTTTTTTTCGAGTAATCGAGGTTTACGCAAGGGAACAGAATTTTTTCGACTTATCGAGGTTCCACTGTATTTATACATTACATTTTTTAAATAAATCAATGTATTATATAAAAATAAAAAAAAATACGAGCCATGGGGGGGGTGAATGTCCTCTTCGTCCCCCCTCAAATACGCCCTTGGGTGTCGGCTGCGATTCGGTGTCTTCGCGAATCTGCACACGATGGTGCACGTGCGTATTTCGATTATACCGTTACCCGAACGACCCAAGCAGTCGGTTACACGGTCGGTTTACGCATTATCCTTAGTATTATCATCGACTTCGCTTACACTTGCAGTGTTTCGAGACGACGGGCCAGCCGGCATTCGTAGGCGATCGGTTAAATATATAACGTCCGGTTGACAATCTATAAACATTGTTAATACGTAACGTTAGCGATGATCACATCATCAACTTTTCGAACTCGATCACGGTATCCCGCATGCATCGGTTTCACGTTTTTTTTTTTTTTTACGTACGATGGATATAAAAAAAAAAAAAAAAAAAAAGCACTAAATCACCCGATTACAAATAGTACTATGTAATAGCCAGCTGGTTATGTTTACAAAATCAATATCATATAACCCATAGCGAGTGTTTTCAACGAATGTAAAACAAGTACGAAAAACTGTGGATAGGAAGAGAAAAAAAACGATCAAGAAACGAGGAATTTGCAACAACATCACGCACGCATCGTATCGTCGACCACGCTCAAGTTGATAACACCACGTGATAGAATCGCGATGACGAACCGTTCGGATAGCATTTCGACCGCCAAGGACGACGGCCAAAATTGCAGACTGTAAGTGGGCAACCTGCCGAAGGTGAAAACGGAAAAAGAGATATTCGATGAAGAGAGCCGCATAACGCGCGGTCATCTGGTGCATGTGATCACGTACAAGAACTTCGACGAATAAAATAACCTAAATGTTCCCTTTTAATTTTTCCATTATTTTTAGTTCTCCAATTATTTATATTTTTACCTACCCATAAAATGGCAGTTTTTTTAAATAGTAAATCCACAGGTAATACATTAAATAATTTAAAGTTGTAACCCGTTGAACCTTCAAGAGTAGGTTTCTCCAGACATATTTGAACAATTTGTCTTTGTTGGATTAATAAAGGTTTTAGAGCATTAGCAGAAAGGCCTCCCCTAATAAGTATACCATACTGCAATAATGCTTTATATAATGCTAGATGCTAATATATATGGGTTACCATTTGTAATTTATATAAGTTATAACTGATAGTATGTAAATGCATTATTAAATTGTTCACGTGTAGATTTCATCTTAAGTTCTTATCAAAAAATAAACCGAAATTATTATATTATACTGTCAAGCAGCACAATAATATAATGTATGTATTATATTTATCTATACATAATAATAATCTAAATTAAATCGGTTAATTCAGTTTAATTATCAAAAGAAATCGGGTTCTTGCACTAAAATACATTTAATTATAAAATTAAATGAAACACTTATCTGGTTCTTTCCCTGTATGCCTAAACTTCCTACAATTATAGCTTTTGATTAATTGATTTTTTTTTTTATGTTACGATTACTAAAAAAATAAAATACCTCAATACAAATAATTTGGTACCAACATCAACATTTTAGAAAAAAGTGACTTTTCTAGTTTTTTCTATACTCTTTATATATATTATTTTAAAATTATAAAATCTCTTTATTGTGCACCAAGATAATACAAGTTAAACATCTTAAAAATTATGAACTTGAATTATAATACCTAGATACTAAATATCCAATACATAATAACATCTATTATATGTTCAAATTTTTAAAATTAAACTATTACCACAAATTGTATAAGTACAAATCTTATTTTCAATAAAAAGTATTTTTTAACAAAATAATACAAATAATTTAAAGATAAAATTTAATATTTTCTCAAAAAATAGTTATAAGTATACATTATTTAAAGCTGAAGATATTAATATATAAATTATAATTGATAAAATTAATATCAGTGATACTATGTTTAGTAATTATAATAATTATAATATAAAAACTATTAATATATTATTAGTGCATAGGTAATGAGGTTTGTTACAATAATAAAAATGTAATTTATGACTGTGCTTCGGTTGGATTTTGAATAACAATCATTATGAATTCTTTATCTGAAAACAGGAAATAAAATATTTATGTATTTAATAATTATGTTAATAAAAATAAAATATTTGATTTATTAAACCCATATGAGTAATGGTTACTTATATATTTTATAAAATACATATAAAAAAAATAAAAATAAAAAAATATTATCACATTTTGATCAACTGAATGTTTTCAATAGTAAAAACATACAATGTATTGTTGTAGAAATCAAATAATCTATTAATTTATTTGATTTTGTTAATGCAATTATTTGCAAGTATGAGACTTAATTATTTTCATTCCAGGTTTTTTTTAAATTACATAAATTAACATTTTTAATATTAAATATTTTACAATATGTTTACATTAAATTTTACTCAATATATTATATAATATATATTATACAGTAGAGTCTCGCTGATCCAGACATTCAGATAATTAGGACAATTTATATTTTATACTTTAGTACCTACTTATGTATAAATACTTTACAAATAAATATTAAGTATATAAAAATTATTGGTCATATAAATTGTTATCTATTATAACAGCGATTCTCAGCCGGGGGATTACCAAGGATTTAATAAGGGTCGCATCATGTGAAAAAAAAATTATTTCAAATTAACAACAGTAAAAGAGTCATTAAATTAAAAAAATATTAAAATTTACACAATTTTTATTGTTTTTTTTCTATTAATTTACACCAATCGGCTTTTATAATATACTTTTTTTTGTAAAATGTATAAACAAATAAATACAATAACAGTATGTACAATTTTTTAATGCTTACATTACAAAAGGGTCATTAGACATATTGGTGACATTATAGGGCAGGGATGGCAAACTTTTTGAATACTGTGTGCCCAAAATTAGCTTTTTTTTTTTTTATAGAGCGTGCCATGAAATAAATATTAAAAATATTATATTTTGTTATAGTATAATTTGATTGTATAATTAATGTATTAGTATAAAAAGGTTAGTTTAGGTACATAATAGTAATAATAATATATAATAAATAATAATAATAATTAAAATAATATTGCTTTGTTAATTATTTATATTATGTTATATTATAGGTCCTATAATATTATATAATATATAATAGTAAAACTTTTCACGTGCCATGGATTTGCCATCCCTGTTATAGGGGGTAGCGAACCAATGTACTATTAGACGTATATTACTGAAACATAATTGATACATATACATATATATTCTTAGGTTTATATATATATGTACATATATATTTGCAGTATAATTGTAGGTATTTCTACGAACTTGGAATTATCCAGGAAGTACTCATAAATGTAGTTGTTTAAGATTTTATCGGTACAAGACTTAACTTAAAATCAATAATGAAAATTTAATATATGTCATTTTTATGAAATCTAAAACATGTCTCATGTCAAGTAACATTATAAATCTAATTTACCTGGTGCGACCATTATCTCATGTTTTTTAGTACGCATTCTTAGAAACATCAAATCATTAGACGGATCTAAATCTCTAACAACACTTCTTGCTTTGTCAGCTAATTGTTGAATCAATCCAGCATATTGAACAGATGTTGAATTATCCAAAGTAGACTTTATAGGAATGCCTTTTTAAATCATAAAAATATATGAGAACAAATTTTTATACCAATAAAATAAAATCTGTTGAAGAATACAAACCTTCAGAGTTTACTACAATAGTACCGATAACTCCACGATGAGACTGAATCCGTTTTAATGTATCTTCGACTTCACTAGCCATTTTCAGTTCTTAAATACAAATATTTGAGGTAAGACGTTTAATTAAGTGTCATCGAACGGACGTAGTTCCAAAACGTAAGTACACTTAAATGGGAGATAATAGAAAATTCTTTAAACTATATGCAAATCAATTAATAAAACGCGCAAACACTATGTTTATGCATGTTATTTGTTTTAGTATCACGTCGCCCAGGATATTCTAAATGATAAGAATAATCAATGATAACGCAGTACATTCACTTTCATGTATGCATCTTCTTTTACTCGTTTTTTAAACTAGGAAACGGATACAATTATTGTTTTTTTGTGTTTTTAAAGACCCACTGCTTTTGATAATGCTTCACGATAGATTAAAAAGAAAATAGAAATAAAATGTACTTTATCGTTTCAACTCTCCAAACATTATCGCACATTATCACTGTGTACGCGTAGGTATCCATTGGAATTCATTGTATCCACCGATATGTACAATAAAAATTAATTAACAATAAATCGCCGACTTCACCACTGGAGACTGAATCACCCGACCACCATTAAAGTATTATGAGGTAGAGCATTCACCCCTATTGGAATCTATATTCGTAATAAATGGTCGGCGCCACTGGTTTGACGAAGCGAGAAAACGCAGAATAATGAAAGAGCCACAGCAGTCGGTTATTTATTTTTCTCACGGAGCCGATGGCACTACGTTTCGCTCTTAAAAACACCCATATTCTTTTGTAACACCCCATTCGATATTTAAATGCATCAACCAGGTAAACCAGGTAACATTTCTAATCAGTACTTACATTTTTTTTTTTTTTTTTAATTTATTATTCATGCTAATTATAATACATATAATAATATTTAGTAATTTTTGTTAGAAAAACTGAAAATAATATTGATTGTCGTCCCGCATCAGTTTATATATTTTTCGATAGATTTCGTATCAAATAACGTGATGATTTTAAGGTAGGTTAATATTTAATATTTAAGTATCAGAAGATTTATCTGAGCCAATTATTTGCTACAAAAATTTAGTTAAACATATGGAAAAATTTGATATTTTCATGAATACATATTGAGGATTACTTTTTGGTTATTTGTTCATTTGTTTACCGATTAATTTTCAGATAAATCACGGCGCCTCTGTCCTATGTGTTTTCGTGCAGTTTACTTATCGGTTATAACTTAGCAAGGCGTGCGTTGAATCCGATCATTGTATAATGTACATATGTGTACAGAATAAAAGTACAGAAGAACGTCGAGTATCAGGTCTAATAAATATCAATGGTGATCCGGATAAGATTGACATATGATAGATAAATCAAAAGTTTTTGATACAGTAAATTTTGTTTTATTCAAACTGCGTTGGCTGAAATTCTATTATAGTTCTTGCAACAGTGATCTAATACACGCGTGGTTTTTAAAATTTATTTTGAAATATCTTCATCATAATGCAACGACAATTTATTTTTAAATGATAATAATATTATTTGTGTAATGCTTAAAGAAGGACAAGAGTTTGAAAATGAATTACGTTTGAGAATGATTCCCTAAACAGAGAAATACATTTAACACAATAGTTGAAATACTTAATTTAAAAAAATATTTGATTACGAGAGTGAAAATTGCCTACCAATAAACTTATTTACGATAGCCATAACCATAATATGTACATTCAACTATTTTATGTTGTAGGTAGTGTAGTAAACCTCAAATATAAGTAACGTAGTTAGTACGTAATTTCAATATTCTAAAATATATAGTTAATCGGAACATGATGTACAGGACACAAAGGTTAAAAAAATTAATTAAAAATAAACATGTTTTAATGCATCTTCGATCTTAATATGATAAGCTGTATAATGAGCATATTGCTAATGTCAATCACACGATGACACCATAGGGGTGAAACGGATATAAATATAGGTAGAGCACCTAGTAATAATCAGAAGTGCAGAAAAAGAGTTAGGAACTAGTTACTTGTGTACACACACATTTCGTCCATGCCTCTAGGGAAACATTATTCTGAAACGCATAGTAAAAAATTAGGACATAGTTTTTATTTAAGTAATTTTATTGTATTCTACAAGTTTAAATTTTGTTTACGTGTTAATAAAAAAACTATATTTACTGATGATCAACGTTGACGCGAGTAGGAAAACAGTCACTCACATCTAAAATGTACAGTGATCATGTACATGTTTAATGATAATGCGTCTAACCCTGCGTTTGAACGCTGCAGGGAAAACGTACCTTAAGGAATAATTTCTATCAATACATATAAATCTGTACATATTTACTTATTTATTTTTAGGTGTGTATATAATATATATTATACATCTATGTTTATATATACTTATAAAATAAAACGGTGGATTCGTCCAGATAATTGGACGTCCAATAATCGGCGTTTCACTGCACTGTAAAAAAGTATTACAGAATTCATTATTGATTTAATATTTCTAAAACTTAAATATTATGATGTGGTGGTGGTTTACAATTGACTGATTTACAATATATCATGTAATCTATCATAATTTAAAATATTATAGACATGCATAGGCGCAATTTCAATAAAAAAACTGAGGGTGCTTAAGCTCTGTATTTATTGGGTATTTAATTTATATTAAAACTATAAGGATTTAATGAGCCGATTTTTAATTAAGTACAAATAAAGGTTCCGGTGAGGTTCCGGTTTTAAAATTAATTTAAATTAGGGTTCCGGTGATTTCGATAAAATGTGAATTGATGTTTGTCGAGTAATATTGTTTTCATCTATATTTCATTACAGTTTTATACTCTAATAGTCAAATGTCTGATGACAAAAATGAGTTTTTGATACATAAATACGAACATTATTTGAGGCTGAAAATTGTAAAATAGGGGGTGCTAATACCCCCTAAGCCCCCCTATTTGCGCCTATGCAGACATGCAATGAATGTGTTTGTTGATCTGCACGTTTATAATACAGTAGTATAAATAGTATAGTGGCTTATTATAATGATTTTATGTGTTTGTATTATGTAATAGTAGAAACGACTTACTAATATACAATAAATATAATTTATATTCTTATACTTACTTTACTTGTCATTTGTTTAATAGTTCATTATTTAATACGTTTTCTACGTTATTCGAGACGAAATTAATTAATACTAAAATGGATTTAACTACAGAATTTCAAAACTCATATCAACGGATCGAATCTAATAACACAATTGCTGGTATTATTATAGTAGGCAGCAATGGTTCGTACTTAAATAATAATAATAATAATAACATATTAAATAAATGTTTAAACATCTCGCATCGCGGTCTTTACCCGATACAACATACTACACTTCGAGATTGGCAATGATTAATTATTATTATAACTAAATATTATTACTGGCCGAAACCTAGCAAATAATTGGAGGGCTACGTCAGATTCGAGAGGTATAACAAAGGTTCTCTTCTCGTCCGACGGTTGAATCAAAACATTCAACGATTTTGTATTTTATTTTTTCACGTTTTAATATATTTAACATGAAGTTGAGAAATGTAATCCCTTCCGCGGCCATATAGCTCAACGGATAAGATCTTTTAGATAATAAAATATATTGGCCAGTATATTAATGAATCTATAAAAATTATTTTAACGTGGTCCTCCAAAAACGGCAGCCTCTTATTACAATAAATTGTCTAGTTGTTTTATAAATTTTATCTCGTTATATTAAATGAATATCTTGTTTTTTTTCTTGGATGGAGTTTTTCACCCTTTCAAAATTTCTCTATAATAAACTAATATAATTTAACCATAGATTTATCATAGTTTTTTTTCATTATTCTAATGTCTAACTTTATATCATAAAATTAAAATCTATGGACTCCGGTTTCCGAATCTTGGTCATAGGCTGGTGACTGTGATCATTAATATCGTCAATATGACGCTTCGGCTGAATAAAGTCGATAAACATTGCAATAAATACCATGTATACGAAGACAATTTTTTCAGGTGATATTATGGAGTCAACTTTTGATAATTCGACTTCTGTTCAATATGCCGATCCGATTAAGAATTTAGGGAACAAAGCGATGAGCAGTGTAAGAGATGTGGATCCACACAATGAAATAATACTTTTAAGCATGCAGACTAAAAACAATGAATTCATTTTGGCACCACGTAAATACGCATATGCACTTAAATTAAATAAATATTTTAACACTTTTTTGATATCGTGCTACAATATAATAATTAATAATTATGATCAGGGCTTGGATTTGTATGTAATAACATGTTTTTTCTGCGACTTCTAATTATTAATTTTGTCAGTAATGTCCACGAATCACCTCATGATGAGATAAATTGTGGTTTTTTTATTTTGCATGTTTTTGTATATCTTAGGTAAAATGCATATTATTGCATATATTGAATAAAATGAATATTATTGCATATTTTGATTATAATAATGCGAAAAATAAATGTTTTATAGTATCTTTCATAATTAATATTGATCTCTATATATATAAAAATCTCGCGTCACAGTATTTGTGACCATATTACTCCAAAACGGCTTAACCGATTTTAATGAAATTTTGTATACATTTGGTAGGTCTGCAAATAGATTTTTATTTATTTTTTATATTCCTGAGTGCTATTGTTTAATAAATCGTTGTTTAATTTAATAATTTTTGATCCAGTCGACTACTACGCAACTAAAAATGAATTATTAAATGATACTGTTAAAAAACTATTAAAAAAACTATTAAAAACTAAAAACTATTTAAAATAATTTTATTTTTGGTATTAAATGACGTGTATTGCATAAATATTAAACAACAAGATCCCGTAACAGGTGCCAAAACAAACAAGAATATTAGTTCGAAGGATTATTATGCATATCGGTTGATGATTAGACGCGATCAGGACAACGTTATTCTACGATGTCTTGAGCTTTGTCAACAATTCATGGTCGACATGTATGTAAAGATAGAGAGCGAACGATTACGATACTTGCAATTCAATCAAAAAAAGCTGCGTGCGGAAGATTATCAAAACAATTGTTAAATATCGGTGATAAGTTACTACAGATGAAATGGGATGCATGCAATTACCGACCGATTTCTGCATAATCATTGATTCGCAAGATGGTCTTGTTGACCAGATATTTCCCAATGTACACAGACAATACACAAATCATGAGTGGCTAGCAGAAAGAGCAATTTTAGCAGCAAAAAATGTGACGTCAACGAATTGAATCTCAAGATACAACATTTATTACCAGGAGACTTGGTATCATACAAATTTATTGATACAGTTTGTGATGTTACTGAAGCTGTAAATTATTCAACAGAGTTTTTAAACTCATTGGATTTACCAGGCATGCCACCGCATAATTTACAACTAAAGGTTGGATCTCCGGTTATTTTGCTTCGTAATTTGAACCCATTACGGTTGTGCAACGGCACGTGATTAGTCATTAAAAAAATAATAAAAAATGTTATCGAAGCCATTATTTTAAATGGCAAATTCCGAGGTGAAAATATATTATTACCGTGAATCTCTATTATACCCATATATGTGCCAATTCAATTTAAACGTCTTCAATTTCCAATTAGATTGGCATTTGCAATGACTATCAATAAGTCTTAAGGCCAAACGATGTCGATGTGTGGTTTAGATTTGAGTACATCATGTTTTTCATATAGATTCAGTTTGTTTTGGCGATAGATGGGATAACAAAAAATATTGTACACTCTGTTGCATTATGGGATTGATATTTTTTTTTACTAATATTGTCATAATTAGTGATATATATAATTTTAAAGGGTCAAATTATAATAAATTATTAAAAAATAAATGTTTGATGTTTTTTTATTTTTATATTTCGTCACCGTTCACAGCACTCCATACCTCTTTCACTTATATACCACGTCCTCACACACTTATATTAAATTATTTTTTCTAACAAAATATTCTCTAGAAATAATTTATATGACAAAACAACGTTTGTCGGGTCAGCTAGTAATTTAATATAAATATTTTGTATTTCATTTTAGACCTGCTGATTAAAATATAAAACTTGGTTTTTTTGTCAAACATAAATTTTATTTTATTTTATTTCTCAATTATATTATATTATGATAAACAGCCAACCACTGATGTATTTCAATAAATAAATTTTTTTTTTTGTAATAATATTTTTGTGTTTATCTTATAAAAATTTAAATGCATATTTTTACATATTTTGGTAAATAAAATGCATTTTTTACAATGTTTTATTGCATACAAATTCTAGCCCTGGTTATGATACAATAATAAAGTAGTACTGAATAATATCTGTAAATAATATATAATCAGAATTTACAAAGAATTTAATAGAATTATCGATAATGTTGATCCATATTTTATAAATTTTTGTATATTTATCGTACTAAATACAGACGAACTTTCGTATTTCTTGCAAATATTTTATTAAAGTTACGAGATTATCTGAGTTGATTTAAGTTTTTTTCGTTTTAGTAGCTTAGATCACATATTAAAAAGTTTTTACTGTAGGTACATTAAACATATTTTAATATTAATTTTTGGTAGTAATTTACTATTGTGTTTTTATTAATATTTGTGTAATTCAATTATAACATTTTTCTATTTTAATATGGATGGTTAAAATTTTAATATTTTTTACATTTTTTTTTAGATAAGGATTTCACAATGCTCGTAATTCAAGATCGAAAAAAGTAATAGTCTTAAAAATAAAGAAAACTTATTAACACAATTTTTTTGTTTTATGTCAATGGGTAATTTACAATATGATATTTTTAATTGTTCAGATTCAATATAAAAAGAAATGAAATACAATTTAATTTGATCCGTGTTCTCTATGATCATATACAATTTTTTTTTCCACTCAACACAATTTTTGAAAAAAGGTTTAACACAACCATTATAGTACTTACATCAAAGTTTGTCCATGAAATACATAATTATCATTGTACAAGATCGTTTTAAAAATCAACAATGTAATCAAAAAACAAGACCACATGCCCGCATAATTATAAGCCCTAGAATAAACTATTTTATTGCTTATTGTTGTACATTTTATGACTGAAACAATAAAACATATTTTATCGGAAATTTTATGTATCCGACTCCTAAATAAACGCGGGTAAATCGACCTCAATTATAATCAATTAGGTATACCATAATAGTATTTAACATATTAATTTTTCATTCTAATTGCTAACATTCATTCCACCTATGTCAAAAATTAATTTAGAACCCATTAAGGCTGATTTATTTACTATCTTATAGAATGTTTGTAGCCAACATGGTATAAGAGTTTAAAAAAACATTTATCTTTGCTATTATTATCAATGTTTTGGTCGATATAACTCGTATGTAGATTTACTACCTATTTCATATTTATTTTACAAATACAGGGATCTAAATTTTGCAATAAATTACATAAACAAATTTAATTAGGCCATACATAAGTATTTAATATCAAATACCATTGTACCATGCATTTTTTTTTTTTTTTTTTGGTATAGGTATCTATAATTATAAAATTAATAAAATGAAAAGAAGTTCAATCGTTAATTATAAACATAGGTGTAATTAGATGATGGTTAGAGGGCTTAGCCTCCCAAATATTTATCCATCCTCTATATAATAAGCGCAGTTACAAATTAAAAATTTTGCAGAGAACAACAATGAGATAAGAACAATTTTTAAATTTATCATTATTGAATATCGAGAGAGATGTAAGTTACATCTTGTAGTTTCATCATGTAACTAATAGTCTACATACAAAAATAATAATTGATTAATTTTCAGCAACAAATAGAAGATTAGTATTAATTTAATATTATTTTATACGACTGATGTGTATATTATATATACAATTTTGTTATTATTACATTAAAAGGAAAATAATTATATTGTTAAATTTTTTATTTGAAGTAAATATATTGAAGTAAAAATTGAATAAAAAATAAAGCCCTAATTGTGTCTATGGTTATAAATATCTATAAATGTAGATAAATTATTTCGTTTATAAAATAAAAATTACTAAATAATGAAAGCTTTCACAAGCACTATTAATTTGAAATCTATTGTTACTATTAATAGAATTCAAGTATCATATCTTATAAACTTAAAATGTTTTTTCATTATTAATTTTATTATTTTAGTCAGGGTCTAATTTAGACGTTTTGAGGCCTTCAGACAAAATAAAAAATGTGGATGATTAAAGATTAACTTTTTTTTAAAAAAAATATATTATACTTTGATTATATTTATTTTATACGTTGAAAGTTGTATTTGAAAAACAAAGTTTCATATAAATCTGAAGTTCTCTTATAACGGAGGCCATAAGCAGTTGCCTGCTAACCTGCTTACCTGCCTAATGGTAAATATGACCCTGATTTTAGTAACAGATTTTTGTATGACTCACAGTTATAATTAAATTCAGATCTACACACAATATTTCGTTTAAATAACTATTTATGAACTAGTAACAATAAAAAAAATTGTATTAATTCAAATATGATGCGTCATCAGTATAATGCTTTTTTTGATTTAGCACAAACTTAGTGGATTATAATTATACTTAAAATGCACTTTAAATATATGTATTTAAATGAGGTATACTTAACTATAATCTATGTATATATATATATATATATTATAATCGTAATTTGTTCGGTTTTATTTTGTGTGTGCACTAAAAACATAAACATTATGGAAGATCAAGTTCTGTACTGAATCGATTTTTTATTGTGATGATTTTTCAGATATTTCACAAAGTTTGCTACATATTTTATCAGCAAAAATATTTTATTTACTTTTTATTTTGGTGTTTTACTAAATAAAACTAGTTTGGTGTATTATTTATTCATTTGTAATAGGTACTCTTAAACTCATATACTTTAGAATTGGTACCCTACATAGCTTATGAATATACATAGTATAAATATGATTTAATGCGCTAACGTATTGTGTTTGTAATATTTATATGAACATAAAAAAAACTGTAAAAAAATTGGCACAGCTGAATTGATCGTCAATGGATGCCATCGCATGTATGTGTTCCGTTGCTTCTGGTCGTCTATTACTTACGAATACAAATAGTAATAATAACCCAGGCGGATTACATTGAAAATTAATTTACAAATAGACACCTTAGGTTATAAATTACGTGTACTATAGTTATTTAGAGAACGTGTACTTAATCTAATAATGATACGTTGTTCGAAAGTAACATCCTACGAATAATTGTTTTTAAAGAATGAAAATTATACGTGTATCATTGTACATAAGATTTATGGTTAAAGTCTGTGTAATTCGAAAATAGTTGGGCAATAGAGAAAAGTCAAAAATGAACGCGAGATATACATACCGCAAGGAATCGCACACTGCATAATGTGTAATAATAATTTAAAATTTTAAACTTTTAAGTGTATAATAAGAATTTAATCAAAATAGAAAATACATTTGAAACCGTCTGAAATATTAAAAAAAAAATATTCTAAAAATAAAATGTCTTTGTTCAAAGTCAATTATACTTTGAGTGTTTTGTGGAAGCACCGACAATGTTTTGGATCAGGTTATTTGATTATTCAAATTTTTATAGGTAATTATTATTGATAAATAATTTTTATATATTTTTAGTATAAACTATAGTAAAATATTATTAACATTTTATTTTATTATTTTTTCGACTAAAATACTTAACAGTTCTTATAGTTTTATCAGTTTTATCAGGATTCTGAATTTTAGGAAGCATGTTTTCATAACATTTAAAAATAGAATATTTATGTTGCATTAAAATTCGACACCTTAGGCACACGTGCTGTTTCTACACCAGATACATCAACTTTTCTAAATTATCATAAACAGTAATCATCTCTCCGACGGGGGCGTTCGTGATGTTTCGGGAGGTCAAGCTCTCCAATAACATGTAAGTAATTACCGATTCCACAACAACGTCGCGCGACGACGTAATATTTACCTATTAAAAATACCGTTGTGTTTCGGTAGTTTGCCGGCCAGTGTCGTAATTAGAACATTTTTAATGGGAGGGATATGGTTGAATAACCCAAAAATACCATTGCAAAGCAGAAATTATATCGAATAATAAGTTATTCATTTACCGCATGGAAAAAAACTAAATTAAAAACTTGGAAAAACGGAACAGAATGCGTGCCGAATTTTTTATGTCATGAAGATCAGGTACAAATTTGAATTGTATTGACACCGAACACCAGTGGTCAAAGTGGAAAAAATGTTGTGGGGGGGACTATATTCATCAAAAATTGAGGAGCGTTCCCCTACCTAATTCTGAATCTTACCAACCTCTTTTAGGAAACCCATAAGGTCTAAGCTTCTTCTGTTACACACGTATATAAAACTTTATTTTCATAAGGTGTAAAAACAAAATTCCCCCAAAGAAAAATAATTCTATACATATGCCTGCTCAGTAAAAATAAATTGAAATGCATAGTAGGTAATGTTTAAAAAAACTTAACTTAAACTTAACAAAACTAAAAAGAAACAATTACTAACCTTGCAAGACGTTGGTCAACGTAGACAGTAGGTAACAAATACGTACATTGCACATAAGGCGTATACTGTTTATAGGATAGTGTCTATCTTTTATCACGATTTAATATTTATATTATTTATAGTTATTCTATTCTGTTTATATTTATTCGAAATAATAGTCGATATCACTATCACTTTAATTTTAGAGCTATGGGTAACCAGGGCTAGGATTTGTGTGCAACAGCATGTTTTTTTTTGCGACTTCTGATTATTGATTTTGTCAGTAATGTTCACGAATCACCTCATGATGAGATACATTGTGGTATTTTTATTTTGCATGTTTTTGCATATTTTAGATAAAATGCATATTATTGCATATATTGAATAAAATGAATATTATTACATATTTCGATTATAAGAATGCGAAAAATTGATGCTTTTAGTATATTTTGTAATTAATATTTATAATTTAATATTAATACTTCTTATTTAATTTTAAACCTGCCGATTAAAGTATAAGACTTGATTATTTTTTTCAAACATAAAATTTATTTTAAATTATTTTTGTTTTATTTTATTTTTCAATTATATTATATTAAGTTACATTTTTAAAAATGTATACTTTGTTTTGTAATTGGTGAGTTAATCAATTATTTTCTTATATTTATAGTTAATGAATAAACGATATAACTTTTCAAGATAGGTATATAAATAAATTACATTTATAAATTTAATAAATAATTATGTTGTACGTAAATACATAGCGTTGCTCACAGGCAACAAACTAAAAAATTGGTTTTTTAGAAACTTAAAATACCAAATTTTTTTTAGTAATTTCTCCTTCATTAGGATTAATATAACAACCCAAAAAAAATTAAATAATGAAAAATAAAAAAATCATGCATTGTAGGGTTAAGAAAAAAATCCAACCACTGATGTATTTCAATAAACAAATATTTTTTTTTTTTACTATATTTTTATGTTTATCTTATAAAAATTTAAATGCATATTTTTGTATATTTTGGTAAATAAAATGCATATTTTACAATTTTTTATTGCATACAAATCCTAGCCCTGGTAATAACCGTTCGGGGATCATCTATAATTAGACACAACGTCAATTAAATTAACCCATGGTGTACCATCATCTACCATTTTTATTTATTGTTATACCTACATATTATTTATTTTTCCGCTTATTCAAATTAATCAAGAAAATAAATTTCATGTAATATTGTAATATTATAATAAGTATTGTATATTCAATATTGTATTTTATTGACCAATGCCATTAAGCGTCCACCCGGACTTTTGGCGACTTAAATTAAAGAGGACGCATATTCTTACCTTAAACAAGAAGGAGGACTCCGTGCCCCCCCCCCCACTATAACCGCTGCCGAACACCAAATAAGCGTAGAGACCGGCAAAGAGGACGAGAATCGAGTTCGAAATGCTTTTGCCCTAATTATTATATTATCGTTTAGAACTCGCAGCCACGTAGTTCAGATCTTATTATTATTCGCTGGGCGAAGGCCCCGCTGAATCGTTATTACTTATGGACAGTGCTCGGACGGCGGGGGGAGGGAAGAGGCAGACGACTGAGTACCTCAACTAAATTATCAGATATTTTAGCGTGTCCCTATTATTTTTTGAAAAATATACGCGTGGGACGGTACTTTGTTTTACGTTTAGTCCTTACGAAATCGCAAAACGTTAATATTTTTATAAGAAACAAACGGTTTACAAAAATGTGGGCACCTAATAATTTTCGATACAACGGTACACAATGATAATAATGAAACATCACAATGTTCGTTGGAACGCACAAATCGCGTACGTATTGCCATTACACGGAACTTGTCCGTTAACACGTAATAGGAATTTCGGACCGATTTTTTAACCCGTTCAAACGAAAGGCACGGGTGCAAGTTATGCTCAAACATTAGTGTTGCGGTTGAAACTTCGACAGTGAGAGCGGTCGACGAACATTCGGCGGTCCCGGCCGTGTCGCGAGGGGACGAACGCGGTAATGTTCGGTGTTTAACCGAGTAGGATTCGTACGCGTCATCGGAGTAGTGTTCTTTTCTTTCCTCCCGCCGCCTCGGCGGACCAATTCGCGTTGCGCCGCAGCGGGCCGTTACGGCAATGATACGTATCGTGACCCGCCAGCCGTAATCGTAGCGATTTATCCGCCGTACAGGTACGCGCGGGCGTAGTCCGACCGATGATAAAAACCGTCCCGAGGTGTTGACGGGGGGGCGGCGGCGGCGGCGGCGGCGGCGGCGAAACGAGCGCGACGACTACACGCCGCGCGTCCGCGGTTCCCCCGCTCCGCTCCGTCGACGTCGCCGAGGAGACCACGTGCCGGCCGTCGTTCGCGGTGCCGCGACGGCACTGCTCCGACGACCGCCGTAGCTGCAACACTCGCGTGCTCGCCGCCTTTTCGTCCGCGTCACCGCCCCCTGTCACCGGCGACCGTTGCCGCCCGTACGCTTCCCGTGTTCCCGTTTTTACACACCGAGTCCCGGCCGTCATCCCCCGTTCGCTGGCACACGACGATGCGCATCGGGAACCCGTTGTCCGCCGCCACCACGTCCGCGACGTTCTGAAAAAAAGCCGTCCCGGGGGACTCGACGACGAACGACCGCCGCGCGACCGCCGCGCGACCGCGATGACCACGGGACGCGCCGGGACCGCGGTCGCCCGTCTGCTGCTGCTGCTGCTGCTGTTGGCGGGCACCGCGTGCCGGGCCGCGTCGTTCCAGTGCGACGGCGGCGGCCAAGTGAACTTCGAACTGCTCAACGGGTACGCGGCCAGCCCCGCGGCCAAGCACGCGATGCGCGAGCAGTTGGCCCTGTTCACGTTGCCGCAGTGCATAGACGCGTGCAAGTCCGACGACCAGTGCGCCGCGGTCACGTACGAGACGGGCGCGTGCGTGTCGTACGCCGCGGTGCCGCAGAAAAACGCCAACTCAGGTAAATGTTACGAAATAACTTAATGGGTTTTTCCGATTTTTTCATCGCGAGTCGTGCCCCTCGAACGGTGCGCAACCGGAGAAAGGTCGTGTCTCTTCTCGGCTACCGTCGCGCGTTCCGTCTTTTCGAAATTCGTTTCAACGAATTCGCGATCGTTTTTCTGCGCGTAGTCATTTTTGAAAATCACGGTATTTCATTTCCGGCTTGTCGCGGAACCTTTTTCTCGGCTGGTCCCGACGAGCTGCTGACACGGCAAACCTAATGTCACTAATATGTAAACCGGTCGAGATTCACAACACTCGAAGTAACACGCGCGAAGTGGTGCGATTTCCGTGAAGGGCAACGTACAGCGTTACAAGCATACTGCGCTGGATCACCAACACTACACTTGAACAAATCGTTGTTGGTTGCCGGTAGATAATACTTTTATACTTGTTCCGTACGGCTCTTAGCAGCAACTACCTGTATGCGTTCCGTACATCGCACTCGTACATTTATCGAGGACATGGCTTCTGAATAAAATTAAAAAATCCTAATAAACCGGATTAAAGTATTAGGCACTCAGCTCTTGATGTACCATCTTGATGTAAGCCATCTTCACGAAACACTACTACTATATGGATACCGTCGTTTAGAGTAGGTACAATTAGAATAACCGATATCATCGTTGTCCGTTGTATAACCCATAAGTTTAAAAAAAAAAAAAACCTTTGGTTTGTACGATTCTCGCGGGTAACAGTTATTGTTTCCTAAATAAACGTGACGTAGTTTCAGGAGATAGTATGGTAATAAGCTTAATAGCAATACGTAGGTGTATTGTGTACATGTCGGTAAGAACCATACTTAAAAATAAAAAGCAAATAATATAATCATGAAGTCTGTGTCATAAGATAATGCACCATATTTCATCGTTTACTTTACAGTTTAAACTTGTTGTTAGAGTCAAGCATCTTACAATGTTTTCTGATCATTAGAATTTTATCACTACACCAGTAAAAAAAAAAAAAAAATAACGATTTATGATTTTTTTAATTTTCAAATTCATTTTTATGGATTAATTATGTCTTACATTTTAATTATGAAAATTCAATAATTATCATAGTTTCACGAGGTTGATTTATTATTATCATAAATATTTTAATTTCGCGAAATGTTAAAAAAAAACTTTCAGTGTTAAAATGTTATAAAATGTATTTTAAATGAATGAAATATGGAAAACTTTTCATCTTTTTAATCTGAATTATCCGAATATTTAATGGATAAATAAATGATACTTACGAGTAAAATTAGCTAACAAAACTACCAACAATCAAGCGATACATTTTTAGTTGTGTTAATAAAACGTGTAATTTTTTTATTGATTTTTTTTTTTTTTTTGATAAAATAAATTGTATTTAGTTTTTTTCAAAGTATCTCATTAAATCGAAAATGTAATGAGATTTAATTTCGAAGGAACTAGTGCCGAAATTAATTTTAATTTTCTTTAAATTACTTTATTAAGTAAAAAACATAAAAAATTCGAATATCTTTGGGTAAGTTTTTTTTTGTTTAGTTTCAGTTAAACATCATTAATAATTTCATGTGTTACATAATAATTAATGCAAAGCTAACCAGGTTTTGTTCTAAGTATAAGTAAAAAACGGCATATTTTACTCAATTAATTTATTTAAAGAAATTTGAGCTATGACATAACAAATTGTTATTATAAATAATAAAGATTACTTTTATTAATTCAGGTATAAAACTACAATTTACAGTTTTTATTTCTTAGATCTAAAAATAATACATATTAACTAATATATATATATATATATATATATACCATCTACTGATATTTAACAATCTGGATTTCATATTTTATGCTAACTCTCAAATAAATTTTTAATTTTATTGTTCATTGCAAAGTACTCATATTAGATTTAAAATGTTTAATACTATTAATAATTTGAATGGTTTTGATCCATATTATTTTTGTAAATTTATTGACCTAATACTATAATTTTATAAGTTTCTCAATATACAATAGTACAGCTAATCCTCGAGTACCTAGTTGAAAATAGCCCGGTAAAAAATTAATTCATCTTTAATTTAAAGCTTTTACCTAATAATGTTTTGGAATATTTTGGAGTGTTTCTTTTCATCATAGGTAATATTTATGTTACGTATTTCCAAAAATAATTTTTTTTTTCTATATTTTGATGTAAAATAGATTTTGTTAGGTACCATCGCGTTTGATTTCATAAATACATTCTAAGTAAGCGTTATTATTCGATTTTAGATTCTATATGGGATGGGAATAAGTAATTGGTTTATTATAGATTTTTTCTCCAAAATAATTTCCTTGGCAATAAAAGTAGTTCATACAGATCCTAAGTACGATTCTAAGCATAAAGAAACATAATAGAACCAACTATTAAAAATTGGATACAAATGTTATTTGAATTAGTCACCCGAATAAATATGAATTGAATATATACTTAATTTTAAATACTAATTTACATGTGTATACATGAATAGATATATTAATAGTATCTCAAATAGTACAAATTGTACATTATGTATACGTAAGTATTACAAACCGTACGATAAATATAGGTAATATTTATTTTTATTTTATAACATATTTTACTACATTAATTTATTATACTTTACGACGGGATTATAAATAAAAACTGTTTGCACGAAACGTCATAATTATTATATTTATTCAATTTTATAATCTAACTGTAAAGAACATTAATAACGTCTCTAGATATTAAAATATAATATTTTATGTTGACTACTTAGAAAAATCTAAAAGGCCATAAAATGTACATCCGGATCGGGAATCCGGGTCTAACTCTTCCAGATAAATGTTCCACAAGAACGTCCAAAGACCATTGGACATCATAAAATTATTATTTATTATTGTTGTTATCAATTTACAAATCAATTAGATGTTTCTGGATACATCCGCACAATGAAAATATATGACACAAATATTTGTTAACTATAACTTCTTAATTATCACTTTATTTCGGATATAAAACAAAAGCGTCGAATACATTTGGTGAGTTTTGCGTCAATATTATATGATACTACACGTGATACCTAGGTAATATTTACATTATTTGCTAAAAGTATGACACGAATAAGGTGACAGTGTACTATATTTAGCATTAAAATGAACGTGCGTGATTTATGAAGTACAAAAATGATTTTAAATAGACGAATTTGAGTTTAATAAATACTAATAAATATTACATTTATATTGTGTTTATAAAGTATAAATAGAAATTTGCTATTATGAAAACATTTTGATCGCGAGAAACGGAATTATTACCACTTTATATTTGACCGTTTATCTTGACGATTAGAAAATTACACGTTTATCATGATTCGAACGATTTTTATAAGAAATATATATATATTTATGTATACCGAATTATCTAATGTAGGTAACGCGTCACATCAAATATGTTATGAACATGTTTTTATGAACGATTATTATATTTTTTCGGTCGTATTATTATTATTATTATTATTTATTCTTCTTTTTTTTTTATCCAAGTATAAGGTTGTACTCGTTATAATAAATAAAGCATTTTATAACGTAGGAATTATTAAAAATTATTATATTCTTTAATGTAGGATAAGTGCACCTGATTTCGGGAACACGCGTAAATGTATATAGTGTATTCACTGTATAGGTATTCATTTCTCTAACTTATAATCGTCTCGCAGTCTGCATTCACGCTCGTACTTGGTAATTACCCATAAACTAAATTCTCGTAAGGATGAGACGTTTATTTGTTTAACGTTGTTTTTTTTTAATTTTTTTTTACTCGGGTCTTATGCAAATTCGCAACGATCTCGAGTGGAAACCGTCCTCCGCTCCGTTATAATATAAAATATCCGTCGCGGCTGTTTTAAAATTGTGTCACATAGGGCGGCTCAACATACGTGACGACGTGAACGCATTAAAAACATAAAAACTGGACGGTCGCTACTTGTCCTACTGTAAATCACCGAATAATATCGCCTATCCGTTACAAAGCGCGAACCCGTTCCGTGAAGAAACCCTAGCTTTGCCACAACACGGTCGTCGACACCACCGGTACTCGTGCGCTTTATCGGATGGGTACAATCAGTGGCGTATATAGGTTTTCATTTCGGAGGGGGCCGATTATGTATTTGATTTTTGGGTGGAAGGGAAGGAGGAAGCATACTATTACGAAAAAAATTACTTTAACACTATAAGACTTCTCGACTGTCTTTATACCATCAGAGAAATAAGAAACTCAGTTTTTTTAATGATTTGTTATTTTTTAAAAGTATAAAAACTACATTGTAATAAACAAATTTTTTATTACAGTCACTCAAAATTCACCACATATTTTTTTAAAAGAATAAACATATTTTATAAAGATAAAATTTTAAATTATCGCATTAGCAACATTCTCAGTGTCGTGACAAATTTTCGAAAACCCCCAGCATTAAAACCTAACCAGCATTAAAACATATCCATGTTAAAAATAACAATCTTTAACAATGATGTTTTTCATTTCGGAGGCGGCCCGGGCTCCCTCCCCCCCTCCTCCCATTAAAATACGCGTCTGGTAAAAATCGAATTTCCTAACGAACCACCGTAAACGCGCGCGCGGTGACGTGACGTGTATATTGTTGTAGCCGAAGAAGGCCAACAACGGCGAAATGCCAAAACTCGAGTTAACCCGCGCGCGCACTGCCAAGCATAACCCGTCCGGTTTTTCGGAAAAAATCTATTTCAAACGTATTCGATACGTAACGGACGAATGTGATTTATTTTTGAGCCATCAATAATTTATAATCGTTTTATTTGGAACGGTCATCTGATCTACATACTACTGCACAGTGCGTGTATTGGTAATGTGCGTAAAAACAAGTGTGCAACACCGTTATCGTATTAGAACCACCGTGTGGCGGCGTGCAGGTACGAGATGAGTTAGTGAACACGGTCGTCGGTCATTTGAAAAACGACG